CTGGGATTTTCAATGAGAGTTCGTTCTCCTTTCTTGTTTTATCCCTTCTTTTCATTATTTCTCTCCTTCATTTCTTTATTCTATTCACCATTCTTGTCATCCTTCTTCCTCTCCATTCCTTCTCATCTCTACCTTCTTTCTCTTCTCTGTCTCCCAGCCCCCCTCCCAGCTGCCATCTTTGTGTCTCCTGTGCTGCCTCCAGAGCATCCTTTCACGCCTCAATATTCCTGGATCCTATGTTTTCTTCTTTTAATTTATCATTTTAAAGGATAAAATCCCTCAGAGGTCTTAGTAATGCACCTATGAAATAGAACTATCGACGCTTTAGGCTTGTGAAAATGTCACCTACACACTTGACTGGTAGTTTGGTTAAGTTCAAGACCGGACATCATTTTCAACACACTAAGCTCTTCTGAGTCCTGGCCGTTTGAATTTGGCCCTTTTCTCCAACTGTTGGGAAAACTCTTCAGTAGTGTATGGACTCTTCTCTTTTCACGTAGTCATTCAAAATCGTTTTGTGTCAATGCTAATCCAGGGGTACTTGCCCATCCACAGCCACAGGGCTTCCAGGAATCAAGATCTGAAATCAAGAAAAACACTTTGCTCCATTCTAAGTCAAAGGTCAAGAAGACATCCTTGAACTGGGATGGACCAGGACATAAAGATGTTGACAAACCTGCTGAGGGCCCTGCTCCAGGTACCCAAGAGTGGGGACAGCTTTTCACCAGAGGCTAGTTTGGAGTGGGGTTCAGTCCAGCTGCTAGGGCCTGGGGGTCTTGGATGTAGAACAAAGCCACCAGACACATGTTACTGGACCTGCTGTGTATAGACTTTAACTTGGGCCTAGGCTTCGAGAGCCAGCAGAGTAGTGCAGAGCAGGAAGCCTCATCATGGTGAGACCTGCATCAAGAGGTTCAAGCACAACTCATTGTTGCAGAAGCACCATTGCATCCACGGGGGCAAAAAGCCCTAAGCTTGCCAAGAGGGTAGCAAGTGCTTCTGGGACTTATTTGGCTCCACCCCACCCCTCTGTGTACACCTGATTGACCTTACCGAGCCTTCAGTAACAGCTCACATTTCAAGCAGCACCTGTGCTTGCACAGAGGTGAAAAACGATGCAAATGTCAAAAGCGCAGTTCAGCTGGAGCTAAACCCTGTGCAGCACCTCTGGCCAGTATAGCTGGGCTTTCATCTGGAGCTCCTTGCTCTTTGAGCAACGACACAGCTGCGCAGATGAGAACAGAGGCTTTGATCAGAGCTCTCAGCACACTGCCGCCAGAGGATCCATTGCTAGGCGTAGGCAGGCAGTTGGACAGGACTGAATAAGGATGCTGACCTACATTAAGGCTCCCGAAAGAAAGGCCTTCCTTTCCACACTGTTACATGCCCAGCTCTGCATGCCCGGTGACCAAAACAAACAAACAAGATCCTTTCAAATTGTTAGGGAAAAAATCGAGACCACCGATATACCTGTGAGTGAACCGTGTCCCAGTGACATTATCTGGCACATATCGGTATTTATAAATAATTGTCCACTTGTTGAATTTGGAAAAAGCCAGCTTGTTAAATTTCCCAGAGATTTATTACTTGCTAAGGTGGCAAATCTTTTTGTAAGTCAAAAAGCTTCAAATTCTTTACTTTATCAAAATTAAAGTAGCTCCCATTTAGTTGTTCGATCAGCTTTTCACTGCCATATTAATCCCCTATCCGAATCAAGAAGTCCTGGTGACATAGTGGGTTACACATTAGGCTGCTAACTTCAAGGTCAGCAGTTCCAAACCACCAGCTGCTCCAGGGGAGAAAGATGAGGTTTTCTACTCCCATACAAAGTTTCAGTCTCAGAAACTCATCAAGGCCAATCTACCTGTCTTATCGGGTAACTATGAGTCAGAATCGAGTTGATGGCAGTGATTAGTTCATTTGTTTGTTTATGATTGCTTATTTGTTTTTGAGTGGTTAGAGAATCACAAACGTCAATGACTTTTGGAAAAATGAATCACACGTGCTTTTGCTATTGAGTCTGTAAACTGCCTGGGCAGTCTTGGTAATACTAGATTGGCATCATTATCGAGGCTAGAATTATTCTTCTATATTGGGTCAGCTTTGCTTCTGTGGGTGAGGAGCAGAGTTTACTTCCTCTGCCTCCGTTCTCTTCAGGGTCTCTTGTTGACTCGGTGAGCCTTTTCAGCCATATTCTCATAGTGACCGCATGGGCTCAGGAGATGCCAAAGCTCACAAGTGTTTTAAGTCTCGGTGTTGGAATTGACATCCTCGTTTTTTGCTGCAGTTCTTTCTTCCCGCCTTCCTTTCCTCTTCTCCTTCCCTCCCTTTCTCTTCCTCTTCTCTCTCTCTCTCTCTCTCTATTTCTTATAAGCCACAGTGAAAGCCCAGGCCGCAGGGTGGGAACAAATACTAATCTAATCATAGGAAAATTCACAGCAACACATTGTGAAGGGCATGGATAACAGGAGTGGGAAATAGGATTATTTTTATGAAATTTCTCTTCTAGAGTTGTGTAGTGATAGACAATTACAAACAATTTTGATAGATAAAATATAAATTGAGCATATTGCTTAGGAGGATAAAAAAATTGGATGACCTTGCTATAGCCAGACTCTTTTTGTACTTCAGTATGCAACAAACTTCTTCAATGAATATATGCTATATCCACAATATTTTTGAGTTATTATCTAAACCCACACATGAAGGAAAAGATTATCCAGATCATTAAAAGATACATTTCTAATAAAAATTTATATACATAAATTACTATTAAAGTTTAACTACATATTATTCAAATGGCATAGGGTATTAATCTTAATAAAACTGATTCCAGAATTTAAAAAAATTATCACTTTGAGTTATAGATTGAACAGAAAAATAAAATAATGAAAAATTTAACTATTACACATAAATCCAATTAACTAAATAGTATGTGGGATAACAGAATTAATGCAAGTTAGTGCAAGTTCAAAAACTAAAAAAGGAATAGTTGAGAATGTCTAACTATTAAAAGAAAATGCACCCGAGTGCTTTGTAGGTGGTGATTAGTGTGTGGAAAGTGACTTTCATCGTATGTACTGCAAACATGATGTCACTATGTTCATTTCACATGGATCAGTTTTACTAATCAACTCCTCATTTATTTTACCAAAAATAACATTTAGATGCCACCTTAAATGTAAAAAGGATTACATATTGAAAAATATATTCATATACGTATATGTGTACATATGTTAATGGGTTCAAGGAAAAGTGACTCTCTTGGGCCCAACAGGACTTAATTACCCTTGACCTCTCTTCTGCCTGCATGCGGTGATACCGAGAGTACAAAGTTCAGGTAGCACACATATGGAAAAATCCTTTCCTCCCTTGAATGTATGAATGAGCTGTTACTTTCATAGCATAAAATGCAACTTGTAAAAATAATTATGTATTTCCTTTTACTCTGGATCTTAAACTTGAGAGTTTAACGATCTTATTTCCCAATGAGGATCATTGAGACCTCCTATGTTGAGAGCTGGAATTTTTCTGTCCAGAATGATAGCTGGTGAGCACATGTGGATGGAGATGTGCTACAAGTACAAGTGCACGGCAATTGAAGGCTTAGTGTTTTTAAATGGCTTATTAATATTGTAGTGTACTTGCATATATTAAGCAGTTTCTTGGAAACTCACAGGGGCAGTTCTACCCTGTCCTGTAAGTTGAGGTGAGTTGGCATCCACTCGATGGCAGTGAGTCTTGTATAAAGAATGGCCTTTTCAGCGACAGCTTTCTCCTTAGAAAGTTTTCTTCTGTTCATAGAGAGTGACAGAGGAGATATTATTTTAGGCCAGATCATCATCCCTCATACCTTGCAGGATGCAACAATATCAAGCTGTTTGATCAAATCTTTATCCCAGAGATACACAAAAACGAATAAGGAAAGGGAGCAGGTGTCTACTGTATGCACTCATTACACAGAGACATTTCTGCTCTGGCGCAGGGGTGGGTCTATGAGTCGGAAGGACTTAAGAGCGCACAACAACTTTTTAAAATGAGCTCTCTGGGTGGAGCAAGTGTTTTGTGATGACTGAAAGGTTGGCGGTTCAAACCCACCTCAGAAGTGCAGCAAAAAACAAAACCAAAAACCTGCTGACCTAAATCTGAAAGCAAAGACACCTTTGTAGGTGATTTACTGTATCACGCAGTGTATCACCCTGGGCCAGAATTGACTCCACAGCGATGGGTTTTCTCTCTGTGCTTTGGCATTGATGATAATCAATGAAGGGGCATCCGGGAAAGGGGATATCATCTTGAGGAGAAGATATGTTCCCAGGCGGCATGTTACTGTGAGGTAGGTGACTCATCTGCTGTCTTTTTTATTGTTTCAGAACGCTGCGACGACTGGGGACTAGATACCATGAGGCAAATCCAAGTATTTGAAGACGAGCCAGCGCGCATCAAGTGTCCACTCTTTGAGCACTTCTTGAAATATAACTACAGCACAGCCCATGCAGCTGGCCTCACGCTGATCTGGTACTGGACAGGGCAGGACCGGGACCTGGAGGAACCGATCAACTTCCGCCTCCCTGAGAACCGCATTATTAAAGAGAAAGATGTGCTCTGGTTCCGCCCCACCCTCCTCAACGACACGGGCAACTATACCTGCATGTTAAGGTAACCTGGCTGTCGATGATGGCTTTGCCTTCTCGTTGTCTTGCTGACTTTTGATTGATAGACTGCATGTGCCATGAAGTCGGGGAGTCAAAAGAGAAAGCATTTCAAAAGAGTTAACGTTTCACCTTCATAACTTCGATGAAGTGGCCTGGAAAGATATGCAGAGGAGAAGGTGCCTACCCCAAGAATCTGATGCAGAGCTGGTTCCTCATCCAATGGTAGCGCAAGTCTCGCTACAATAATAGAAGTACAGTGAACCCTCGTTTATCGCGGTTAATCGGTTCTAGACCCTACCGTGATAAATGAAATTCCGCGAAGTAGGATTCCTTATTTGTAAATCAAATATTTTCGTAATTAGAGCATAGAGGACATGAAAAAACACCCTTTAGTCACCATTACACTCGTATTACCCAATTTATTAAACGAAAAAGGGAAACTACAGTAAAACATTTTGGACGTTACAATTATCATTTATTATTTATTATATTATTGATGGCATCAAGCGTGTTCAGTATGAGCCAATCAGTGGCAGTAATGACAGAGCATGCGCTGTTACGCAAAAACCGCGATAGACTGAAGCCGCGGAAGTGGAAGCGCTAAGTGGCGAGGGTTCACTGTATCTTGTTTCTTTCTTCTTCCTCTTCTTTTTTTTACCTTGGTATTTGTTTCTTTGCTCTCTTGCCCTTAGGTTGAAATCTGACTGCACTTCTGTTCTACCTGGAAGATCAAATTCCCTAGAACATGAGCAAGAAAAGGAATAGCGCCCATTCATGTCTGTTATTCTGGGCATCTTGCTACGTGTCAGGCACAGCGTAGAGGCTCAGGATGATTTTATTGCCTACAGAATACTTATGAAACTGCAAATGTATTTAGAACTGTCATACCAGAATTTTAGATCTTCAGAGAAAATACACAGAGCATATACCCCTTACTAGTGCGTGGGTAAACGTGTTACCCAGATTAAGAGGAGAACGAGTGAGATCAGCTTCACTTTTATTGGGCTCCCGTGGTCCACAAGAGTGCACTATCCCCCTGTGCATAAAGAGTGCAGGGAGGAAGGCGTCCTACTCTTGTGTAGTATACTGGAGAAACATCTGCCCGTGCGTGTGCCATCAATGGAGGAAGTTACTCTGTGCCCACAATGTGTTCTCTGGTAAGGAAAAGGAACTGGGCAACAAAGTGTCCCATTGCCAAGCTTCCCCATAAGGCAGTGTTGTTATGAGACTAAGTGGATATGATTGAAAGTCTACAGGTAGAGCACTCCTCTAAGAGCAAAACCTTTCCACTAAAATAGCCCCTATGAGACGAACCAGGTGCACCCTAGCCCTGGAAATAAAATATAACCAAAAGCCATCCATATTTACTGAAAAAAAAAAGTAATTTAAGTTCACTTTTTGCCTTGAAAGTATGTAAACTTTCATTTTACTTTACAATATATTTTTATAACTGCAAACTAATGTTTTTTCTATTGAAAAAATCAGAAAACCTCTCCAAAGAATAACCATTTCAAGATTTAGTGATTTGGCTATTTTTTACCCAAAGCACCATTTTAGTTATTGAGTTACTTTGGGTTCTAAAGTCTCATCTGACTGATACGTTTTTATTTGGCCCAGTTTACAGGTCCTCCATCCATGCTCTGAATACTCCTTTTCTTTCATGGATATTTATTGTTGTCTGGTGGGAAACTAGGATGATGTTTTCATAAATTTAAATTGCGTTATAATTGTCTGATAGAGGAACTCTTACCAATCATGGAAAGGTGTGTCACTGTGTCATTGGATGCCCAGGCAACCACTGAAGACTTCTGAGATGTCCCCTGACACTTTAATTCGATTGGAGTGAACTCGAGACTACTACATGGGCTTCCAAGGACTCTGCAGTAGGCATGTGCTCTTATTTATGCCCAAGTCCAGCCTCACAGGATAGGTTTAGACCAGTTTTGCCATTACTTAATTAGGTAATCTTAGTCCACATCTCAAAACTTTAGGATCTACAGCCATATATTATTAAAGTTGGTTTATATATTCATTGGCGCTCTTTTCGTGTTTGACAATGATTAATCAATTCATTAACATTTCCCAAATGAGCAGCAACTATTGGAAAGGGGTCTTCTGACTTTCTGGATGACTTTGTTCTCTGCAAGACCTAAGTGCATGGCTGTTAGTCTATATCCCTATTAAAACCCAACTGCACCTTCAGTAGTAGTTATCAATTTCCAGTTTGTCACTTCTACAATTTTTCTGTGGACCCATAATCTAGGCCCCAAAGGAATGGGCAAGTATCCCATTGTCCTGGAATGATTCCTAACCTGAGAATGACCTTGTACTGAACCCATGGAATCATAGGCCTGCATGTTTTTAGGGAATGGAGTTAGATTCACCTTCCAGTGTTGTACTCTTTGTATCCCTGCTCTAATATCCTTGTTAAGATAAGCAGGCAAAATTATCCCAACTATTTAGTCAACATTTATTAAATGTTTAATTTTTAAGAATTCTTCAACATTTTTAAAAACCAGAAAAGTATAGCCTTATGTTCAACCAGAATGTACCTTTGTAATTTCCATCTCCATCCCTATCAGGTAGGGAATTCTCCTACTCGGTAGACTTTAAGTATTTGTAGGTAGAGATTATGCCTGGCACTTACCCTTGTCACTTTCCTACAATGGTCCCCAGTCATAGTTAGTTGAACCCTGTCTTATGGACTACCTCCTCCACCCCTTTTATAAGACTTAGTCATAATTCTTGAATCAACGACTATATGTGTTAGACATCAAAAGGAAAATCACAAATGACTTGTTTTCTCATCACTAGAGAAAATCTGTTACTTATTTTTCAACAATAGATATTTTCCCTCCAATTCTATGGGCAATAATTCTGAAATTAATGTATCAGCAGAGCCATCCTCTCTCTAAAGCATAGGTTCTCAAACGTATGCCTCCCGCTCCCACTTCAGAACAAAAAAATTACTTAGAACCACTCTAGCAACTAAAATCTTTTGTCCTATAGCCCATAACCCAGGATAGAGGGCAGGTACCTGCTTTTGTAGCCCTCTTCCCTAGCAGTTTAGTGCCCCCTATGGAGCAGCATTCCCTACTTTGGGAAGCACTGCTCTAAGGGATCTGGAAGAGAACCTTTCCTAGCTTCTTCCTAGCTTCTGTTGGTTCTTGCCAACCCTTTCTCTTCCTTGACTTGTAAATACATCACTATGATTGTCACCTCTGTCTTCACATGACCATCTGCTCTCCATCTTGAGAATCAGATATTTTTATTAATCCCTTTCTTATTTTCCTATATAAACTGCATATACTCATGTATAAGCCGTTTTTCAGCACATTTTTAAATGCAGTTTTTGTGGTAAAATTAGGTGCCTTGACTGATATTCGGGCCAGCTTATATTCGAGTATATACATTAAGTCTAAATTTTGCACCCAGCCATTCATTTAACAAATATTGATTTAATAACTCTTAAAACCTTTAGATCCTATACTAGACAAAAGGAATTTAAAACTAAAACACACATGACCTTGCCTTGTACAACATTCAACAGAGGGTATATATTAATAAGTCACAAAGCAAATAATTTTGAAGTATGAAAATATCTATCAAGAAAAATAAAGAATGCTTAGAAAATGAGGGGTGGGGAGGTGACTTTAGATCTCGCAGCAGGAGAGGAACAGCTGGAGAAGCCTCCATGTGACAAGGTAGATGGTGAGAAGAAAAGATCTCTGAAGGCAAAGGAAATATCCCGTGTAAATATCACACAAGCTTGTATAAATACAGATTCCCAGCTAGCCTACGAACTTTTTAATATTTGGGCTTGTATTTTGGGATTGTATTTTGATATTTGGGCTTGATTTCTTAAAATAGGTGCTTAAAACAGCTCTGATTAATTGTACCATAATTTATATTATAGTTTTCCATTTAATAGACTTTTTCTATTGACTGCAATATGTTCCTTGCTGAAACAACACTGTGATACTGTGGTGGATCTATCTATCTATCTATCTATCTATCTATCTATCTATCTATCTA